GAGGGAAAATAATAATATTAAAAAATTAGTAAAAATCGTAAAACTACTTTAATAATATCATTCCTTTCCAGTACTGCATATTAGACACAGTTAAAAGTCAAAATTTTTACCGTATTAAGTCTTTATTAAAGGCAAAGGCACTCAAGGAATAGCTTAGAATGTTAGCAAATGCCAACAGCAACCACACGCTAGCAAGGCTGTCGATGGCTACTTTTTTCAAGGGTTGAGAAGCAAGCTGATGGCTAATAATGTGATTTCTTGTGGCACATGCCAGTACCAGTTTACCATTGAGCTGAATCATAGAGGGATTGGTTGTCCCACTGACGATGTCGAACCTCCAATTTACTGCACGGAGACTGTTTCACAGTAGTATTTTCACGTAATGGCTGTTTTTGGGTGCTTTTAGCACTGTAAAAGTCTAAATTCAAAGTGTTCGCTTGCTTTTTTTTTCTAAAATTCTCTGCGATCTTCCAAAAAATGAATTTTTTAAGCCATACGCTAACGGGGCCCTTGATGGCTGCCCCTTTCAAGGGTTGCTTAGAAGCAAGCTGATGGGTAATGTGATTTCTTCTGGCATATGCCAGTACCAGTTTACCATGGAGCTGAATCGTAGAGGGATTGGTTTTCCCACCGGCGATGTCGAACCTTCGACTTACTGCATGACGAACTTGCGAATTATTACTTTTTCACAGTAGTATTTTCACGTAATTATTGTTTTTTTGGGTACTTTTTATGCTGTAAAAACCTAAATTCAAAGTGTTTACTTGCTTTTTTCTAAAATTCTCTGAGATCTTACAAAAAATGAATTTTTTAAGCCATACGTTAACTGGGGCCATCGATGGCCGCCTCTTTCAAGGGTTGTTGCTTAGAAGCAAGCTGATGGCTAATAATGTGATTTCTTGTGGCACATGCCAGTACCAGTTTACCATTAAGCTGAATCATAGAGGGATTGGTTGTCCCACCGGCAATGTCGGACATTCGACGTACTGCACGACGACCTTGCGATTTATTACTGTTTCACAATAGTATTTTCACGTAACGGCTGTTTTTCGGGTACTTTTTGTGCTGTGAAAATCTAAATTCAAAGAGTTTGCTTGCTTTTTTTTGTAAAATTCTCTGCGATTTTCCAAAAACTGAATTTTTTAATCGTTCTGGCAGGTCCAAACATGCCTTTGTACGAAAGCGTTTTAGTTCAATATGGCTGGAAATCATGATAAACCATTTCTGTTTTATAATTTTTTTCGAAAATTTAGTTTTGATTGATAGTATTTCCTACTGAAAAATGCATTAGTTTTGGTTTCAGTGCTGCAGTTATTACGGGTGTTTATCAAAAGTCATGCGGAATTGTTGGAATATTAAGATGGAAAGCATAGGAATTATCAGCCGTATATTGAATAATAGGCATATGTGAGGGGAGGGGAGCGCAGTCTTTGTTTCATCCTTTAGCTGTGATCACAGGCAGAGCTGTGCATGCGGTTAGGAGTGGGAATCATCAGTACAAGAATATGTCCGAAGAATGTTTGGTTGTCCCAGACGAACAAGTTTGAACCTTTATTTGTTATCTTTTCCCAATTTCTTTAGGGAAATCCAGAAATTGATCTAAATTTTGCAAAAGTGAATCTGATATTTTAAATAGAAAGGTATCAAAAGAGAACAAAAAGGATGGTAAGAGATGAGGATTACAAAATTTGTAAATTAGCATAATTTTCTCTAATGAATGTTTCTTTTTTGCCCTCATAATGATGATTGTTGCTGTAGCTTACTCAGTTATTACACCTGTTTTCTGTTACTGTAAACCATCGAAATTTTTTGTTGTTTAAAGAGTTTTTCTTTCTTTTTTTGTTGCGCGGATAAACATTTTTAAAAATCCCACAACTGTCCAAATTTTTTGGCTACAAGCGTATTCAATTGTACGATTACAAGAAATTATTTTGAAATGTGTCTCGAAGAGCCGGGCGTAGCTGCCCAAAGCGTATGGGAACATCCTAGTAACATCACTAACATGGGATACCACCTACAACCAATTGGTATTCATATTTGGATGTGATTCTTTGTCAGCAGCTTTTTTGCAGTTCATTCAGACCAGATTTTTTGTTAAAATCCATTTTATTGAATTTTTATGCTAGTCTGTGCTTTCTATGTTTACAGCTTGGGGATGAAACACGGACAGGCTACCAGGCTTTGCCTGTATGCGAAGTCTAAAAGTCACAGCTCAATTTTTTTTAATTTATTAAAATTCAGCTGTTGATTTCTCTCCTCTGTCAGTGTGGTATGTATGCTAAATCTACTGCATTTGTTAATATACAGATGATTTGAAGTTCTTTCTCCTCGAAATTTTTGATCTTGAATAATTATAGTTTGTGCCACTGTAATTTCTTCATTACTTTTATACTGTCTCAAAATTGTTAGATAATCTATGATTCATATTTTTTCCCTTCATGCTGACAGTTTTTTAAGTTCCTTTGACCAGTGATGCTTCATCAGGTGGTCAGCCTGTCAGCGATCCTAACGTTCGTTTTGTTATCTGAAAGGATATTAACCCAACGATTTTTTATGACATTTACCAAGATTTTGGCCGTTTCGAGCTGTCCTTGGTGCACGGAGGGATTATCATGTTGCCGGATTTCAAGGCAGAGATGTGGCACCTTACTGATTTGAAAATTGGATTTTTATACCCACTTTATTTTTTTTAAATTACAAATTCCCTAATTTTTTGCTGGATTCTGTCTTTTTTTTGAATTTTTATTTTTTTTTTGAGGATTGAATTTTTATACCCAGTTTACTAAAATCTCTAATTTTCTGATTTTTTTGGAGAAAAAATTCTATTTTTATTTTTTTCCATTTTTTTAATTTTTATTTTTTTTAAAATAATATCCGATAAGAAAACATTTTGTTTTACATGACTTATGAAGCTGAACTTGGCCTAGGAGACTAGCTAATGGCCGTAAATCATTTTTTCAAGCTACACCGTCATAACAGTCGTCTATTCTTTTCATAGTTGCGATAGTGACCAGTGTGCTGATGTTACTAGTTTTCCTCGTTCGGCTCGGCTTTTTTATTTTTCAAAGGAAAATAGTGTCTGTATCACATTTCTGCAGTTTTTTTTTTGCATGTTTTCTCTAAATTTTAAAAGGGTATGTCAAATATGTGGCATTTTTCACCGGTCAACTCCTTCTGGATTATACTGCGCATTTGTCATTGGTGATTCTGTACTTTTTTTTGGAATCAAAGTAAATATTCTTTTTTTGGCTGAGTTCCAGATTTTTCCGGTGCGCAATGTCGGGATTCACTTTTGGTACGCCAACTGCAACAGCATCCACAACGACGGCCAGCTTATTTGGAACTGCACCAAAACCACTATTCGGCACACCAACAACCACCACAACACAACAATCAACAGGTTCCTTTCCGTACAAATCGAGATGCTGGTTATTAGGATTTTAAACTTCCTGAGGTACGGGGGAAATCACATATTCGTTTAAACATGGCGGAATGGGGCACTGTACTGATGATTCCCATCCCAATCCGCACCGGCTCTGCCGTCTGTGTTTACAGTTCAGGGACGAAACATAGATAGGACGACAGCTAATGCACATACAGGCTCGCTTATCTGGATATCTAAATTGGCACTTCCGGCTTTCCCACAACTGTCAATATTCGACTGTGTTCCTCTCATCGGTGGGCCTGTGCTGCCAAACAAGCTTTTATAGTTTGCATCTTAAAAAATTTCCAGAACATTTAGGTTTAGGACTAGTAGAAGTTTTTTCCCGCGAAATCCGATTTTACCTGAACATTCAACAGAAATAGAAATAACCTGTACAGTTATGTGCATGGAATATGTAGGTTGATCTATGTTCACAGCTAAGGGAGTTCAGCTTTTCCCGAGCCTCATTGTGCCATTTTATTGGATTGCATAAATCATAATTTTCGTTTGGCGCCCATTACCAGTTGCTAGAAATCTGTAAAATAATATACATTTCTGTAATAGCTCTCAAAAAGTAATATTCTTGAGAATTTTTAGCAGCCTTTACGGCTTATGTTTTGACAGAAGACTGTAGCATTGCTGAATGTATGATTTTAATAAAGTTCTATCTTTATTTTAGGTTTTTTTGGTACGCCGACAGCTGCGTCAACACCAACTTTTGGAACACCTGCATCCACCGCTGCAACAACAAAACCATCAACAGGTTTCTTCGTTTTTATGCGTTTTTTGCAGTAATGCAATGCAAAAAACGCATATTGACGAGAGGTTGTCTGT